AAAGATCATAAAGATTTAATTTAATTAAAATATTGTATTTATTTTTATACCAAAAATCAAATTTGATTTTTGACATGTATTATTATAATAATAAAGAATGAAATAAAAAGGAAAGGGGGGGGGGAAAATTGTGTAAAATCTAAGATAAATTAATAAGGTAACTTTAAAATACACTCTTTATCACAAAACACAAAAAAATTAGTGATGTTGTTGTAAAAATCAAAAAAAAAAAAAAAATTGACGTCCATCAACTTATAATTTTTTTTTGTCAAAAATTATGTATTCTTTTACAATAGTGATAATATATATATATATATGGTTATGTTATCATTATTAAAAATTTTTAAACGTTATCAAATGTAAACTTTAAAAACCAACAACAACAACAACAAATCATTAGGCGATTGATTACAAGCAAAATATAATAAATATTTTCATTAATTTTTTCGTAAATATTCATTATTTATTTATTTATTTGAAAATAAATAAATATTATTATTAATTAAATATTTATAATTAATTATTGTTGAGATGATTTATTTGAATAACTTTAAATTTTTTTTTGTTTTTTAGACACTGTGATAAAAATTAAAAATTTTTTTACTCATGAAAAAAAAAAAAAGAAAAAACTGATAATGATGACGTCATATTTAAAAAAATTTAATAATAATAAAATAATGATTACTTAATTTTTTTTTTTTTTTGTTAATAAACGGACATGTTTTGTAGTATATCGATTAAATATTATATATAATATTATGTATAAAATTTTATAAATAATATAAATTTAAAGTTATTCATTGCATAAATGAAAGTTGAATGAATTTTAATCCATTTGAAATTTATTTTGATAATCAGTAAAGTGATAATAATAATGATAAAAATCCATTATTTGTTTAAAATAATAATAATTTAGTGCATATATATATATATCCAAAAAAAAAAAATATCCGAATATAAATGATTTGTTGCTAAAAAAAATAAATTTTTTAAAGATAATTTATTATTTTTTTTTTTTTTTATGAGGATTATTATAAAATTTTTTGTATTTTTTTATTTAAAGAGGAAGACGGAGAAAAACACAAAAGGTACACTTGGTGTTTGTTTATAAAAAAAAAAAAAAAAAAATGAGGAAGAATAATAATACATTTGATAAGAAACGGGAAAAAAAATAATTATCATTATTAGTTTCATTATTAATCTGTCATTGTCAATGATATTGATAAAGTTTTTTGTTATATAAAAATATAATATTTTTAATAAAGAAAAAAATAAAATAAAATAATTTTCATCAGGGTTTTATAATATTACATAATATAAAAATTAAATTTTATTATCATTATTTGAATAAATATTTGAGTGGGGGCGTTTTTAAGTAAATAATTTTATGGTAATGATATCGTTAAAACATATTTAACTGAGAATTAAATGCTGTGGGAAGTAGAAAAACAAAATATTTAAAAAAAATAATTTTTTTTCTTTTATATGATTGATTGGCAACAAATCATATGTTTCGGATTTTTTAACTGTCACGATATGTGATAAATAAGTACATTTACAATTATTATTATTATTATTATTTAAAATTTTTCTTTCTTTGTATTTTTTCTTTGTTTTGTGAGAGAAAGAGAAAAAAAATCGTCATTATTTCCCTAATTTTTATTGAGGAAGACCTTCAAATAAACCTGATTATTATTATTATTATTATTATTTGTTATCGGTACTATTTAATGTCGTTTTTTTTTTCTTATCGTCAAAACGATTTCATTCAACATTCATTTTTTTTTTTTTTTTTTTTTCAAATCCTAGTTTCCGTTGGCCTGGACTCGATGTTTTCATCGTTGCTGGAACCCGAATCTGATGTTGACCTGGATCTGTGAACTAAAGCATAAGGATGAGGAGGTTGTTGATTTCCAAGTACTGGAAAAAAACACGTCATGTTATCTAAAAGGATGTTGCTCGAATTCATTTGAACACTAACTGAACATCTTCTCGGTCCTGATTTTGTTGTATTTTTAATTAAATCTTGTTCGACGTCAATTGCAACGTCTTTATTATTTAAAGGATTCGAATCACTAAAACGAACACTACCATCCATGTAAATCTCGCTATTACGCGCTCCAACCTCTTCTAATTTATCTTTTTTCGTATTGCACAAATTACGATTAACGCCGCGACTTAATTTACTAGAATGATACCGATTTCTACCAACGTTTAATTTTAATAAATCATTTTTCTTAGGAGTTAATAAATCACTATTTTCTTCGACATTTTTTATCGGATTATTATTGTAATTATTATTGTTTACTGTATTATTGTTATCGATAGGTACACAAGTTCTTTCTATTAATATTGCACTACTAACTGAAGGCGATTGACTTTGATAAGTTTCTATTTTCAATATTTGATTTTTAGAATTACCAAAAACGTTATGATTATCTAATATTAAATGGCCACTGTCGGTACATATGGAAGAAAATAATAAATCTTCTGTTTGGCACGATTGATCTGTAAATAATTTTTGTAGGGGGCAAACGCAAGTCCTGCAGTGTTTTATATTTTGACGTTCTTTTTCTCGTTCTTCCAAAATTTTTGCCATTATTGCAGCAGAAACAATGTCAACAGGTTTTCCAGATTTTTGATCTTCGATTTCTTTATCTATATAAAAAAAAAAAAAAAAGAAAAAGTTATTCAAAAATTCTTGTTTGAAACACATTTATAATTTTTATAATTTCATGAGGTATTGTATCATACTTTATAAAAGGGGGGGAGGAAAAAAGAAAACAGATAATATTTGTAAAAAGATATTACCAGAAGATTTATTTACTGAATAAAACATGGCTGTCGGAGGAAATGTCGGTATTGGAACTTTTATTGTTTTCATTTCGTGTTTGGGTTGATTGTTTCCTTCTCCGCATTTTTTTTTGTTTGACATATACAATTTAACTTTTTGTTGGAGATCTAAAGGAAGTGATTCAAATTTTTGAGGCACAAAATTTGAAGGCTTGCATTGCAATAACTGAATAGCTAAGTTGACATCATTTCTATTTCTTTCCTAAATAAAAATTTTACAATAAAATAATATGAAGTGAATTAATCATGATTATGAATTTTTATTATAAATAATCAACTAAAATAACATAATAAGAATAAAAATATTCCTTTGATATTTTAACATGTGTAAACATAAAGCATCAAAGTATTTTGAAAAAACTTTTACTAATTGTCATGATTACCTTGAAAATTTTGAAAATATAATTTTTTGTAAACTTACGTTTTCTTCCTTTAACCAAACCATATTAGCATTTGCTTCTGATAATTTTTGTTCTAATGTAGCAATATCTTTAGTTAAAATCCCCTTTTCAGTTTCACATTTATCGACAATTTTCAAAAGTTTATCTTCTAAATTTTGATTAACTTTTTGAACTCTTTTATGAGCTTCATATAATCTTGAATACTTATCTTGCCATGTTAATAATTCTTCTGCCAGTGCTGCATACTCTCCGTTAGGATTTTTATCAACTTCTGTTAAAAAATTAGTTTCCATTCTCATTATGTGATTTTCTCTTTCGACTAATTTTTGTTTTAAATTTTCTATTTCAACATGAAGATGTAATGCACCTTGATCAGTTTTTCCTTTACAAGAGCATCCACATTCAGTACATTTAACACCTTGTGCCATTCTCAAAATCACCTAAACAAAAACAAAACGTACTCTTTTTTTTTTTTTTTTTTTAAATCAAATTAACGAAAAATAAAATAAAATTTAAGATGAATGAAACTGAGGAAAAAAAAAAACACTTCAACTGATTTGTAAACGTCACTTAAACCAGTATCAAAGTAGGCCTATTAAAATAAGACCTTGAATCTTCTTTTTTTCGCATGTATCTCGAACAAAATTTATAACATTTATAATTTTATTTATGTATATTTTGAAATTTAAAAAAGAAAAAAAAACAAACAAACATGATTTAATATAAATCGTAGAAAATAAATAATTACTCAGACAAATGAAAAAAAATAACTGCATTTACAAAAAAAAAAACCGATTTTTAACCACATATTTTACATTCCATTTCAATAATTTTTCGAGTGAAAATTTCTTTTTTTAACTGTTTTGCTTTAATGAGACTTTAAAAATAAACCAGTTTTTTTTTCTTATTTGTTTCCACACACACACACGTTTTCATACAAAAACACTTAAATTATTTTAAAATAAAATTCATAAAATAAATAAATAAATAAATAAAAAGCATCAATACGAATTCAATACATTTTTTTTTTTTTTTTCCTTCACTCCATAACTACTAAATCGTCTGCTTGTGTTTTGATTTTAAATAATAAGATTTTTTATTAGACTACGTTAGTTTTAGAAAAAAAAAAAATACATATAAATAAAAGAAATAATAATTGCTAATCGATTAAAAATTATTTTTTATTTCATGTTAAATATTAATTTTTAAAGTGCGCGATTATTAAATCTAAAAAAATCAACTAAAATTTATTACTTTTGATTGTATTGTTTTATGTCCGTATTTGCCACCCTGTAACCGTTAACTATTGTTGATAACGGTGATTATTACATATATATCAATATATACGATTAATTAGTTTATTAGTTTACATTTTTTTAATTAAGAACTTTAATAAGTTTTTATTTGATATTAAATCAATTAAATTTTTATTTAATATTTCGTTAAGTTTTTTCTTTTTTTTTTTTTCTACAAGAAATTGATTTCGATGTGATTTTTTTTTTTTTTTTTCGTCAATTTATCAATGAAAGTTTAATATGTAAAAAAAAATAAATTTTGTAATTTTTATAGCTTCAACTTTCTATTTCAATCGATAAATAAATTATGCAACGCCAAACATCAATTGCCTTTGAGGGTATTGATTCCAATACACCTTGGAATGAAAAACTCAGTGCTAAATATACAAAGCAAGTATATATAATATTAATAAAACTATTGCAAAAGGTTAAAATTTTTTTTTTTTTTTTAAACGTGAATTTCAATACATTTTATTTCAAAATAATCTTTTAATGAGTTTGTTTACTACAAAAAATTTTTCAATAAAATAATGATATTGGAGACATATTATTATTTGAAGAAGTCTTTTGAAGGTTAAATTTACAATTAACAACAAATAAGGAAAATTATAAATAAAATTTAGATTTTTCAAAATATTTTATCAAGGTTTAAAACTTTAAATTTTTCTAAATTAATTTGAAAATTAATTTTTGAGTTTTTTTTTTAAATTAAATTAATACCAGTAAAAATTTATTTTTTCTCTGTTTTTTTCCCATTACTTCCCCATTACTTTTGATTTTACCATTAAAAATAGATAATTTTTTTCATATTTCAAATTTGAATCATCATGTTTGCTTTTTTTTTTTATCATTTGTATATTTTTAATAAAATTATAAAATATTTTTATTAGGTCATTTGCTTATTACACAATAAGCAGTAGGCTTCCTGTAATTTTAACAAAAGTCATTAATGACTTGGTCACAAGCAAAGGAAAAATACTTCAGGATTCCTCTAAGGTAAAATAAAATTACAAATGAATGGAATCAGTTCACATTGACTTTCAATTCATATTTATTTTAAGGAAGGAGAAGAAGATTTAAAATGTGTTATTGGAAAAATTTCAAAACTTAAAAATGAAGTAGTCACTAATAAACCTCTCATAAAGTTTGAATCAAATAAAGGAGATTTAGAAGTATGGAATAAATATCTTGATTCAGAAACGATTTCCAAAACTGATGTGCCTTGTTGGTATTACTCCCCATGGCTTTATGTTGAAAATTACATGTATCGAAGATTGTGGGAAATTTTTGAAAACAGGTACCCTATTTTTTTTAGGCTTTTAAAGAAAAATAGCAATTTAAAATTAAATTTTTTCTAATATTTTTTAGTCAAACACTTCAAAACTTTGATCCTTTTGCGATAAAAAAGGAAGAAGCATTTTATGCATCATTGCCTGATATGAAATCAATTTCTCAAAGTGTGATTCAATTACTTAAAATTCCTGATTTACCTTCTAATCAAAATTTACAAGATACATTTAATTTATTTTTGAAATTATCTCTTTGGAGCAATAGGTGTGATTTATCATTGTCAGATGTCAATCAATTATCTACTGAGGAATCAACAATGCATAAATTAAATGCTTATGATGAATTTATATTAAGCAATGATTCTCCTAAAATATATGAATACTTTAACCAAAGCTCCAAAAATGGAATTATTGGTTTGTAAATCTTCATCATTAAAAAATTAATTAAATTATTTTTATTATGTATTAACATTTAAGAAATTTGTTTCAGATTTTGTGACTGATAATTCATCCTATGAAATTTTTAGTGATTTTTGCTTTTGTGATTTTTTGTGTACATCATCTCTGGCATCAAAAATAAAATTTCATGTCAAGCATTTGCCTTGGTATGTTTCCGATACCACAAAAGGAGACATAAAATGGCTGCTTGATAGAATGGATAAAGAGGGTTTAAGCAATTTATCTGACAGATGGAAAAAATATTTAGAAGATGGCACTTGGTGCATTTTAGATGAAAATTATTGGACTTTGCCATTTGACTTTAATGTCATGAAGGTTGAAGATAAAGAGTTATATAATTCTCTATGTGAATCAAAGTTAGTCATATTCAAAGGAGATTTAAATTATCGCAAATTACTTAGTGATATTAATTGGGATCCTTGTGAAAGTTTTCAAACAGTTTTAAGAGATTTTAAACCAACTAGTGTACTTTCATTAAGAACTGTTAAAGCAGATTTAATATGCGGATTGCCTGTTGGAAAGTATGAAGAAATAACACAAAAAAATAAAATGTGGATGAGAACGGGGGAATATGCTGTTATACAATTTTACTGCCATTTTTAATAACAAATAAAAAAATAATAAATTAATCTTAATTATAAATGTTTCTCTGTAAAAATCAAACAATAAAATAAATTATATGCCCAATAAAATCTTTAAATTTATATTTGAAATTGCACAAAAAAAATTATAAATATTAAAAAAAAAAAAATCTCATGAAAGAATTAAGTATCTTTAGAAAGAAAAAGTTTATTTACTAAATAATAACTTCAAATCTGATTTATAGTCTCTGTTTCTCTATGGAATATTAATAGCGCATTCAGAAACCAATTTTAGTGTAATAAAGTTTTCAAAATGGACGTCAAAATTAGTTTTTACTGGGAGTTGTTGTGAAATGCAGAAACCGCATTGTTTATATCAAGTTTAAAGTCTACGGTACCAATATTATTATGAAACTTGATAAATAAAATAAAATAAATATTAAAAATTTTTACATGTTTTAAAAAGCTTCCGACTTGTTTTCTCAAATGAATGAATTACTTGGATCTGGCGCAAGCTTTGGCATATGAAAAAAATTCAAAAGAAATGATTACTTACAAAATTTTAAAATGGATAGTTCACAGTCGCAGTGCTGTTTTAATGATTCGTTAAAAGATATTAATCTTAGAATATCTCATTCGCATAGTAAAAAAGTAATTAAACATGCTTTACGACAACAAGCCAAACGGAGACGTAAAAACACAACAATTGCAGCTGGTACATCAGCTCCTATGCCTAGTTTTCCTAGGGTCATTGTCAAAGCTGTTCCCATTCTTTCTACAAATAAACGTAAGTTAATCCGTGCCGAAAAATTTAGGTATTGAATTCTTGATGTAAACATACTTAGTTCCGCCGACCAAAACATTGAGCCTACAGATAGTGCTATTTTGCAAATTTTCTTTTGTTATGTAATACTTTATGTTTTGAATATAATTGTTTTTATTTTTTAATTTTTGATGTTTATCTACAGTAATTTTTTTTTTGTTTACTGATTTTTATGTGATTACAACATTGAGTTTTTTAAAATTATGTATTTTGAATGTCAATAAAAGAGAGAAATATAAAACCATTATATATTCATTAATGTGTTCAAAAATTTTACTTTTTAAATTATAAAATTATTTACATTTATTAATTAAATATTTGTGATAGTTTTATGTTCTAATATTTAATATACATATAATTTATGTTTATTATATTTACTCATTAATTATTTAAATTTACAGTCTGAAGGGTTTGATGTTTATCATGTTTTTGAGTTTAATATTTTTATTTTTCATGTAAATATAAATTTCCATTTATTTTTCTTAAATTTTAAAAAATTTTGTGCAAAGTTGTTTATTTTAAATAAAGCAATTATTTTAAACTCAATAAAAATTTTAATTTATTATTTTTCAGAAAATGAATCAAATAATTCTCCAACAACAGATGTGTCATTTTCTAAAAGGCCACTTACAATGCGAGAAGTACTGGCATCTATTCCAGGTTTCAGCATTAAACAAAGGAAAAGAACCTATAAAAAAATGTCAACTGCTGCTCAACTTGAGCAAACCAAAGAAGGATGCATTGATTTAGAAACTCCAGACTCAATATTATCTAATACAGATCTTCGTGCTTTGCTCAACAAGCATACTTTTTCAATACTTCCTCCCCTTTACCAGTACAAATTGGTACAACTATTACCTGAAGTAGATAGACCTAATATTGTTGCTCAGCCTGATTCATCACTTAGACTGAATAACTCTGCTCTGAATAATGAATTTTTTGCCAGAGCTTGCCAAAAATGGAGGGAAAGACTCTCTGAGGGTGAATTTACACCTGAAAATCAGCAAAAACTTAAAACTGAAAGTGAAAGAGAAAAAAGCAAAATTGACCCTTGGAAATTGAAACATTTCGAGCCTATATGGGGGTTTAAAGAATATAAAGATATATCTATTCCAAAAATTGTACCTAATATTGTGAATACTTCCAGACCTCCAATTAAAACTACAATCAAATTGAGGTCGAATAATTCCAAAAAACCTCAAACTATTCGAACTGTTGGTGCTATAACTAGGGCTATCACAAGAGAAAATGCTGATAGCTCTAAACGTCCCAACAATGTTGAAATCATCCCTTCAAGCAAAAAAATCAAATCTCAGGAAGTAAATACTAATGTAAATTCTTCAGGCTGTGAACCAGACGAGGAATTAAAAACTAATGATATTGTTCTGGAAAAAGAGACTGATCAAAAACTCGTAATCGAAAGTGCCGTGGTTAAAACTGAACCTGAAAATAATATAGAAGGCGCGTCAGAGCCAAAAGAAACAGAAATTGAAAAGGTAGAAAAAAGTGAAAAAGTTGAAAGTGTGAAATGTGAAGATCAGAAGGATAATCTGTTCTTAGAGAATGAAGAAAATGAAATTGATCCATTGGACACTACGAGTAAAGAAGACTGTACTGATATTAATTATCAAGATATAAATACCGCAGAATCATCAATTAAATCTTCTTCCTCAGCATCTCCAGACAACAATGCTTTACCTTCCCCTCAACCAGAAGCATTTATTCCATCTCCCAGTAATGTTAATTTAGAAATACCTTGTGAAATGGAAGATATAAAATCTGACGAGGAGAGTCAAATAGAAAATAATGATTTAATTGAAAATGATGATCAAAAATGTGAGGAAAATGATTTGGGTAAGGCTGAAGATTGTAACGATTTAAATGAAACGTTAGTCGATGAGTCTGAAATTATCAAAACAAAAAGTTACGAATTGACAGACGGTGTTGTTGAGGATAATATAAAAAGTGAAATCGAAGAGTTTAACATTTTGAAAGAACGTGAAAATGCCATGATCGATGCGGAAAATTATATATTAGAAGAAAATTCAAGAGCTAAAGTCCTTCAGGTTATGGAAACACTTTGCGAAGAGGTGAAGGACTCCGACAATGAAGTTCAAGCAGCTTTGTTCGCAGTTGCAGTATCTGAAGCATCAAATTGTTGGGATGTTGATTCTACCGAAAAACTTTTATCGGAAACGGAAACCGTATCAGAACGATTGGATGAAAATTCATTTCCGGATGATTCTTTAAGGTTGGATTGGAATTACGATTCCAAAGTTAATTCACCTGGAGTTCTGACGACCTCTGTTCCAGGAGAAATAAATACGGTTCCGCAATTACAAGAATTTACCAATAAATTAGACTTAGTATCTTTGCCACCTGAATCCGTCACCAATGCAGAAAGTTTAGTTACAAGTACCGTCGGAGTAGCTCAAGCAACGGGATTCGGAGAACCACCTATTATATCTTCGACTACTATTGCCTCTGCCGCTCCTCCTGCTTCCATTGTATGCTTGCCTTCCATGGTATCCCCTACCGCTTTAGTCGCTTCTATTTCCCCATTTTCAACCATCACAAACACAAACACAACTAAAATTGTGACTAATACGGTACCGTATTTATCAATGAATTGTAATTCCCAAGTTAGACCGGTGAAAACCAGTGGAAAAGAAAAAGGAAATCGTAACTCAAGAGCTGCATCAAACAAACCACCACCGGGTGCTGTAAATTTAGAAAGGAGTTATCAAATTTGTCAAGCTGTGATTCAAAATAGTCCCAATCGCGAACAATTAAAAGCCCAACTTAAACCCCCTCCTTCCATGTTAGCCTCTAGTGTTCCCGCTGTCAAAAGATCAGACGGAAATAAAAAACCCGAATCCAGAGGAGCGCCTACTCAATACGGTGTTGTTACTTCGTCCAGAAATGGTTTGCATCTAGTTTTTTTTTTCCTAAAATTATTTTCTCATTGATTGATGGTGCTAAGTAATTTTTTTTTGTTTGTTTTAGGAGTTCCCAAAACTTTCACTCCACCTTTACCTGCTCAAAGCGGACCTTTACCTAAAACGGGAATACCGGTTAAGGTAAATACATTAAGATCAGCTATAAGACAGCCTTCGTCTTCTGTCATGGTTCGCCATGTTTTTACATCTTCCCAAGGGATCCCCGTTACGATGGCCGTTCTTCCTCATTCTCAAAATAATGCGTTTTCTGAGGTACGACTCGTGTCTTTGTTTTTTTTTTTCCGCATTTGTTTCATTCTCGTAAATTATTACGTAAAAATTTATGACGAATTATTTTCCAGGGGGTCGAACAGCATTCTTCTCACGTTGGGCAATATATTTTAGTTCAAAGAACTGGAGTCGGAGACGCTCAGCAAGTTTTTAGCGGTTTTAAAGGTACCCCTCCTAGAGCTTCAAGTGCTCCGCCATCAAACATAAATCAAGTTCACGGCCACGTTGTCGGTTCCCGGGACAGGCCGGCAAGCGTCGACGGTCAACGTTCCGGATCGCTATTAGTTCAGTGTCCGAATCCCGGGATTCAAGCGGTGACTCGGAGGCCTCCTCGTCTCACCGGAGGTTTGGTATGTAACGAAGTGTCTTCTGAGTTAGATCAACCGCCGACATCAGGGTCGTATCCGGCTCACAATAAAGAACCGATGCTCAGCGCAGATTCTTGTTCTTGTAATCTTAAAGCCATGATAGTTTGTAAGAAATGTGGAGCTTTTTGCCATGATGATTGTATAGGACCTTCTAAATTGTGCGTCACATGTCTCATACGTTAATTCCTACAAAAAGAGAGATTTAGATATTAGGATAAAATTACGTATTATTATTATTATTATTATTATTATTATTCACTGTTATATATTTTTTATTTATTTAATTAAGTTCAGTTTTGTAGATGAATTGATCCCCGATTCTTTTTAATAATATTTTAATTTATTTTTTAAATTAGGTAAGTTTTTTTGCTTTTTTTTTTTTTTTCTATTTTTAATATTAATTTTTCTTTTCTTTTCTTTTCTTTTTGTTTTTCATTTATAAGTTTTGATTTTTTTTTTTTTAAGTTTGGGATTAATTTTTGCAAAACCGAACTTGGGTAACATTTTTTATTCCGTGGTAATAATAATAATAATTTTTTTTTTTTAAAAAAAAAGTAAAAGTAGAAGAATCATTTCTAAAAGTTTCTAAACTTTTTTTTTGGAGGGGGGGGGTGATTATTTGTTAAAATGTTGATCGTAGTTTCATTTATCCGGTAACCATATTGATTGATTTGTTTTTTTTTTTTTTTTCTAGAAAATTTAGGGTAATTTTGATAGGTTTATTAATTTCGTCTATTATGGTAAAATTCAAATCGAAGACTTTTTTTTTTTTTTATATTATTTAATTTTTTTATTTTCAGTGTATAAAATAAATAAAAAAAGTTCCTTTTTTTAAAAACTTTTCAATCTTGCCTTATAATTGTTAAACATTAATTTTATTTTTTATTTTTAAATAATAGATTTATTATTATGATTATTATCGATAGGACATCCGTTAAAGTCCATCTCTCTTTGTTTTTTATTTTTTTTTGCGTGTAATATTTGAATGATAATAATCACCATGTGCGAACGCGAATGAAAACAAAAGATTTGATAGTCTTTAAAATTTCACTAAAATTTTTTTTGTTTACTAGTCTTTAAAATGTTTTTAATTAATAAAAAGCCATAAATTAATTTTATTTATTTATTTACATAATTTTAAAAATTAAATTTTGATTTCGAAAGGGTGATTAATAATAATATTATTTTTTTTTAGTGACTTTACTACTAAATTAAATAGTATTAAATGAAACGAAATGATTCTTCTTATTTTACGTAAAGTTTTTTTATACATAAATAATTTAATAATTACGTATTTATTTTTATTTTTTTCATTTTTCGGTTTAATATTTAATTTTCGGATTTTAAAAAAGTCTATATAAATTTTATTTATATTACCGGTTATATTTGCATTTGTATTGTTATCATCATAATCATCATCATCATAATCTTTTTTTATTAGTATTATTTATTATCATTATTACTATTAAGTTTTTTCTTTTTTTTTTTTTTTTTTATTGGAAAAAAATAAAATTTTTTTTTTGAATTTTTATTTCTAGCAAGGAATTTAAAAGTGGAAGGGGGGAAAGGAGAGATTTGTCAAATTATTAAATTAAGAAAAAAAAAAAAAAAAGTTTTTACTATGAAATGACCCCCCCCCTATGATAATAATATTGATAATCGATCGATAATAATTAATATTGATTAGTAAAAAAAAAAAAATTCTTGCTGGAAATAAATTGAAAAAAAAAAAAAAAAAGAGAAAATTTTTTTTTTTTTTTTGAAGCCCGTGAAAGAAATTCGAGTACCAGTGAAAGGGATTTAAAAAAAAAAAAAGAAAAGAAAAATTTATTATAATTATTATTAATTATTAATTATTATTATTATTATTATTATTTAAATATTCTTGTAATATATATTGTATATATACATACTTTATAAATATTATAAATAGCAAGTTTTTTTTTTGTATTTCTTTTTTTTTATTTTTTATTTTTCGTTTGTTCGTTTGTTTGTTTGTTTTCTGTCAAAAAACTTTTCCTTTCAATATGTATATATATTCATATAAATGTACAAACAACAATTTTTCTTTCCTTTTTTTTTATATTATTTGTTTGTTTAGTTTAATGTTTATATATATATATATATATATATATATATAAATCGCGCGACTTGAATAATTTTATTATTCTTTTTTTTTTATTCTGTTTGTTTTTAGAATTAGTAATTTATTATTATTATTACTTTTTTTTATCATTCGCATTTATTATTTTATTAAAACAAATTATAATAATAAGTTAGTAATTTATTTAAAGATTAAAATTAAATATTTTTTACATATAAATAAAAAAATGAAAGAAAACTTTTTTTTTCTTTATGAGGGTTTTTTACCCCTGAACTAATAAGAAAAAAGGGTTAAAAATTATTTATTATTATTATTAATATTATTATTATTAATATTATTATTATTTTTTAACACATAATCACGACAATTCGTCTTAATATTCGTCAGAGCCTTTTCGACATATTTATTCCAGGTCTCTATACATAATTTTCTCTCAAGCATTCCATCCTTAATGTGTACAAATTAAAATTTTGTACCTATAAACTTTAGTAGTCTAAAAGAAGTTTAGAACTTTTCTAATCTTAATTGAAATATTGCAATAAAAATATCGAAAAATTTGACCAAATGTATCAGAAAAAACATAAAATCCACAGAGGTATAAAGTAAAATAAAATGCAACAATGATAAATGCATAAAATTCCACCTCATAAGAAAATGTAAACATTGGGTTCCCGCATAAATAAATGTAAACGGTAGATTCCCGCTTAAAATAAAATGTAAACAATGGATTCCCGCCTACAGAGGTCATTTTTCACTAAAAACATCGAAAAATTTGGTCTGATGTATCAGAAAAACATAAGATCCAAGGAGGTATAAAGTAAAATAAAATGTAAACAATGCAACAGTGGATTCCCGCTCATAATAAAATGTAAACATTGGATGCCCGCTCAAAATAAATGTAAACAGTGAATGCCCGCTTAAAATATATATAAACATTGGATTGCCACTTAGAATAAAATGTAAACAGTGGATTCCCGCTTAAAATCTGGTGTTCGAAGATTTTATATACACTCGATATCTTAAATTAATTAATTACAAGTATTTTTTTTTAATTACCTCTATTTCTATTTACTATGATAGGAGGTATTTACCTCAACTACTTTATAATCTGGTTCTTATGACCTGATTTCATATATCAGGACCTTATAATCAGCTCAAGAAATGTATAATTATTAAATGGAGTCTTTTGTGCCTTTTCGCAATTCTTTACACTAAAATCAACGCACGCAACTTATTTAATTAATTTTAACCGTTGCTTATTATTATTATTGTTAACCTGCCTCCTCCCTCCGCGTAATACGATTATTATTAATTCATTTGTAGGTAGGAAATTGTTATATTATGTAAGAGAATATAAGAATCGATAAGACAATTATTATTATTTTTACGATTTTTTAAAAGAAAAGAATTCAAATATATATAAATAAAAAATTTTTCAAATAAAGTTTATTAAAAGTTACTTTATTTTAATGAAAAGAAGAAAAAGGAAAAAAAAAAAATTATTGCACTCATAAAAAAAAATAAAAAAAAAAAAAAAAATGATTCACTTCTACTTAATTATATCGTCTTTTCTTTTCTCTCCCCTTAAATATTAATATATATAATTCGAATAAATTTATTATTATTATTAATATTATTATTAGTATTATAACTCTTTTGTTTTCTCTCTATAACTTCTCGGTCACAAAAATTAACACAGAAATTTCTAGTAACACGACACAAACGTTCCGTGATTTTTTTGATCCTTTAGATTTTGTTGAACTTGCAAGAATTTCCGTTTCCTCCAAATCTAAAAAAGTATAAAATGAAATTTAAAAAAATTGTTGACGTAAAAATGTTTGTTTGAAAAAAAAAATTTTTTGTGTTGTTTGTTTGTTTGTACGAGAGAGAGATTACCTTGTCCTCTTGTGTAGAATTGATACAAATCAGAAACTTCGTTCCATCCGTAACGATTTTTTGCTTGGACAATAGCTTCGAAAACGGAACCGGAATCTAAACCTCTTATATTGTGTGACATAACGTGAGAAAATGTTTCCTCCCTGTCAGGTGTCAATATGACATCGTGCCATTTTCCCGGATGTTGATATGTTTCGTTCATCTAAAATTTAACAAAATTTATTATTATTTAAAAAAATAATAATAATAGAATAGTGATAATGATGCTTTGACGATGCTCTTCGTTCGTAACCGGAAATAAAATGGAATTAGACCAACCATCAACTTGCGGTACAAAAGTCGAACTTCTTCGAGTGGTGGATAACTTTCTACCACCCACGTAAGATTATAACTATCTTTGGCTCTGCTGTAGGGAGTTGATTTAAATTCGGCAGGACTCGGCCTCCCGGAAAGTTCCATGTATTTTTTGGCTCTTCCCAACGAATTATCGGCCACGCAACTGTAATTTCCAAAATCGGAGCCTTGTACGTTTCTTATGGTCAATGTGTGTTTGTTACCTCTTGTTTCCATCGTTCGCCTTTCCGATTGGTCTAATTGAAAACTATCCTGATACCATAATATCTAAAAACAACCATGTTTATTTAAACATTCGATTTCGTCACGAAAACAAACGACAACAACAACAACAACAATCACCTCAGGTGGTGGTTCTCCGTGTACTATACATACGAGTTGTGCTTCGTAACCCTCGCTTGAATGAACCCAACTTCTTTCGACTTCTATTTCCGGTGGATCTAAAATGAATTTCCGTAAATGATTTTATAAGTAGATTAAAACTTTTTACCGTAAAATTTTCTTTCTTTCCCTTTTTTTTTTTTAAAAAAAAAACTTACAGAGAACGTCTAATTGCATGTCAACTGTTACCGGATCTCCGACTCCATTTGAGGCCGTACACTGATAAACTCCTGATTGATGTCGATCAATCATTTCCAAAGTTATTGAAAAACCTTCAACCATTTTTTCTCCCGTTGGTAGAACGTTGTTCTGAAAGTTTTTAAATTTATTTTTCAAGCTTTTGCAAGGCGGGGGGAGGGGCTGCGGGGGAGGGGGCAAATAAAACCCGACGTAGTTTTTATTTTATTTTATTTTTTTTTTTGTTTTGAAATTCATAAAAATCTATTTCGTAAAAAAAAATGGAAGGCAAGAAGGAGGAGGGAGGGAGGAAAAGAATGGAAAAATTTTTTTTTTCTTTTTGTTTGGTTTTTATTCCCCTCCTCCCCAGCACCGTGCCGGAAAATAAAAAAAATAATACCTTATTGAATAAAATAAACGTAAATTTTATAAAATTCAAAAACTCTGTTGAAATATAAAATGAATTTTTTTTTTTTTTTGTTGGCTTCATGCCTGAATTCGTTTTTTTTTTTTATGAATTGGCGGTTGGAGTAAAAAAGCGTCGGAGGGAAAGGAAAGGAAGAGAATGAAGAGGAGGAAAGGTCAAATGCAAGAACAATAAAATGCAAAACCGAAAAATTGCACCGACCAACCTTTCGGGTCCATTGAATGCTGGGTACAGGATTTCCTGATGCTTTACATTCCATTGTTATGGTTCCACCTTTTCTTGCAGTTAACTGACCGCTGGCGGGTTGAGTTTTTATACTGGGCGGTACTGAAATTATTATTATTATTATATTTAACAAAAAAAGTTTTTTTATTTCTAGGGAAGTGGTGGGGGGTTACCTTAAAGGGTTGGGGGCGGAAAATTGAAATTAACAACGCGTGACAATCGAAACGATTAAATTTTTTTATTATCTAAGGTAGATTTTAAAAATGTTTCTCTCTCTTTTGGTAATTTGTAAAAAATCGAAACGTTTGCAAAATGAAAAACTCCCCCCGACGAGTGTGTTCGATATTAAAAATTTAATTAGTTCAAAGGTCACGCACACATGTTCGTTACGCATAGGTAATCAACTCATACGAAATCATCGAAAAAAAAAAAAAAAATTTATTTTAATAAAATTTTTCCGGTATAATCGAATTCAACCGCCATTACCTCCTCCTACCACCCACCCATTTAAAAATCATATCAAATTATTTTTATTTTTTTTATTTCCGGTTTTCTTTTTTTTACCGGAAATGAAACGACATCTGGATTTGAAAATTTTCCCTAACTTAAACGGTTACCTTTTTATTTTTCTCGTTTAAATAATGACGATTGATGAATCTGTCGTTGACATTTTAAAAAAAAAAAAAAAAAAAAAAAAAACTTTTTCTCTTATTTTATTTTTTATCTTCTATCCGACTTTTAATTGAAAAAACCCGCGATTCGAATTAATAATAATAATAAATTTTAAAAATATTTTTTTAATTAATTAAATTGAAAAATGAAATTTAACGTTCGAACGAATTATAATAATAAATCAATTGAGTTTAATTTTAAAAAAAAAATATGGCGTCGTAACGAATTGAAAAGAAAAAAAAAAGATGTCACGTGACCAAAATTTTTTCTGTATTACCTAAAATTTCGACCGTGTGAATTTGATCGCGATTTTCTAAATCGCTTATCTGGCAAACATAATCCCCAGCATCCTGAGGCATGACGTTATTGATTTCTAAATTGTAACCTTCTAGAAGTCTTAGTCTTGTGTTTCTTGTAACCATTAAAGTTCCAGCTGATATAACCGTGCTTCCTCTTCTCCAGAGTAGTACGTACGGTCCTGGAGAATAAAAAAGTTAATAATTATTAACGTAATAATAATAATAATAATTTTCGTTTTTTTAATAAAAAAAAAAAATCTTTTTTTTTTTCTGTCTCTCGTTTTCTGCTTCTTTTGTGTTGACTGAACAAAAACGTAGAAAAAAAAAATTAAAGAATAAGAAAATTCAACAAACTGTAAAATTATTATTATTATTATTATCATTATCGTTATTATTATTATTATTATATTGTCAGTTTATCTTTCGATTGCGTGAATCATTTTAACAAAGATGAAAATTTTTTTTTTTTATTGCATGCACATCTAACACGGTAAAAACAAAAAAAAAAAATTTTTTTTCTTTTATTTTTTTCTAAAACGATAATAATGATGATAGTAATGATGATAATAGTGAAAATAATAATAATAATAATAATTTCATCAATTTATTTTTTTTTCGTTCGCATCTCGAAATTTTTGTAAAAGAAAAATAAAAACAAAAAAAATAAGAAAATTTTTTTTTTCTTCGTCGCTTTCCTTTTTTTTTTTTTTTTTTTTATTATAATTAATAAATGATTATACATTTTATTATTATTATTATTATTATTATTTTCATTTACAAAAAGAAAAAAAAATAATAAAAATTTACCGGGGGTTTTTTTTGTTATTCAGTAAAAAAAAGATGATAAAAAAGAAAAAAAGAAAAAATGAAAGTTTACGAACCATTTCCGGTTTATTTTCTCATCTCTTATTTTATTTGGATTTTTGTATACAAAAAAAAAGAAACAAATGTTCACGTTCAGGTGTTTAAGAAAATGTTATATCTTGGAATATATTTATTTTCCTTAAGAATCTTTTTTTTTTTTTTTTTACTACTATTGCTCAAATAATAATAATAATAATAATAAAAACCTTATGCGTAATGAAATGGGTGAAATGGAGGATGGGAGGGGCGTAGAGAGAGAGGGGGAGGGAATAAGGGAATAATAATAATAAAAAAAAATGTGAAATTTTGTTTTGCAAACGAACATTTGTTTGTTTACCGTTAATAAAATTGTTAATAATAATAATAACAACAATACGAAATTAATAAATTTTTATTATTCGTTAATATTAATTAAATTAATTATATTAAACCCGGCAAAAAAAAAAATCCGACACCATTTTTTCCTTCGGTTTTCGATTACCAAAAAAAAAGAGAAAATGAGAGAGAGAAAGTATAAAAATTCGTGAGAAAAACCCGGCGTTTTCTTTTCTTTCCCCCTCCCCCATCATCACCATCACCATTACCATCATCATCATCATCAAAAGAATTTGATTAAAATTTTCTTTTTTAGATTTAAATAAATTTTTTTTTCGAAATGAATTTTATAAAGAATATAATAATCATTTCACAGTTTTCACTAATTTACATTTAAAAAAAAAATTTTCTTTTTTTTTTATCACTCCTGACGTTGTCATCAAAATTTTTCTCAAACCCAAAAAAAAATCTTTTTTTTTTTAAGTAAAACCCATTGTAATAATATATTCTGCCTGATTAGATTTTCTCTCTGTGTCTTTCTCTCTTTCTTTACCTCCTTCATTTTCTTATTATATACTTTCTCACCAACTTATCCTATCTTCGGAATGTCTATTTTTTTTCTTTCTTTTTCCCTTCATTTTCTTTCAATTTCCTTTTAATCCAATTTTTTTTTTCTGAAAATTCATTATCAATTTTTTCTATTTCGTCATTATATATATATAAAACATATAAATAAAATTTAAATAAATTAATATTTAAACAAGAATAAAAAATTACGAAATTTAAATTTTTTAAATAAGTAACCTCCTACAATAAAAATCTCTCGTCTCTCATTGGTTGATCGTTGAGTCCACCACATAAAGTTTTTTTTTATTTTCTATTCGAGAGTAAACATAAAAATTCTAAACAAAAATTAATTAAATATATCGGGCTATAATTATTTCACACGTTATTATTATTATTATCGTATGTTTGCGTAAAGTAATAAAATATAAATAAATAAAAAACAATTAATAAAGAAAATTTATTTATTTATCGTTTTTACGTGTGTAATTAAAAAAAAAACGTAAATAAATAAAACGATAAACAATAACAACAACAACAATAACAACAAGAGCTTATTTATTTATTTATATATTGTTTTAAATAATTATTTATTTTTACGGCTAAATAAATAATAAAACGATAATTAAATTAATGTAATCTTTTTTGACAAGTGATAATGATAATGATGATGATGAAAAACAATAAATAAATTCAATTAATTATGAATATTTTATTTTATTTGTTTTGATTATTTTATTTATTTAAACGTTATTGAATTATACGGGGAAAAAATTTAATAATAATAATAATGATGATGATGATGATATTTAAATAAAAAAGAAAAAGAAATTTATTTATTTATTTTTTCATAACCGAAGAAGTTACGATTTGATTTATGTTATGAAAAAAGTTTTTTTTTTTTCTCAAGACACGCACAAAACTTTTTTTTTTTTTCATTTATCCTCTCACTCTTCCGCTTTTCTCCCCTTTTATTATTATTATTATTATTATTATATCAAAACCTATATTTTTTGTTCCAACTTCCGGTTACGTAAAAGTTTTTCATGTTATTCACAAAAAAAAATTGTGATTTGTGTGTGTAAAAAAAAAAACAAAATTAAAATCAAAACGTTAAATTAGCATTACGATTTTTGTTACGATAATTTTTTTTTTCTGTCGACGGTTTTTATAATAATAATAATAATAATAATATATCGATGAATCGATTTCGCGTGATTTCGATACGATTTAAATATAAAAAAAAACAAATAAAAAAAATTTTTTGAATTTAAAAAAAAAAAAACCTGACACGACCCTAATTTCAAACGTCACGATAAAAAAAAAAAAAAACTTAAATTTTTAATAAGATTCTAGAAGTTTCCTCCATTTTTTTTCTGTTCATTTCTACAGATTTAAAATTTTTTAAACAATGAAATTAAATTCATGTGATTTTAAAATCAAAAAAAAAAAAATTTTTTTCCTTTTTTTTTTTGTTGAAATGCAAATTAGAAAAGAAAATTTTTTTTTTTGTGAAAACTTTTGAAAAAATAAATGAAAAAAAAAAAAAAATTTTTCTTCTTCTGTTGTTTATACAAAATTTAAACTAATATAAAATTAAATAAATAAATAAATTTAAAAAATAAAAAGTAGCCATTTTGTTTATAAAAAAAAATTTTTTTTTTATTAAATTGACGTCGGAAAAAAATAAAAATTTTCCCGTTTTTGTAAGTTCTTTAACAAAATAAAACAATCACAGTTTTGCCGAAAAAAAAGTTATTTGTTGAAAGTACGTGGCATTAGAAAGTTAGAAACCTTTAAGGATTAACAGATATATACCTCTCGGAGTAGTAAATTTTACGGAGTATTATTGAAATCCTTTATAAAATGAGGAACCTTTTATTCTGAAAGCTTTTAGAAATATTTTTCTTTTTTTTTTATTTCGTTTTAGTCTTAGGATAAGCCGAACAGAATTTTACGAGAAGAAATTTTTTGAACGGGGGGCTGACGGAAGGAGGGAGGGAGGAGTAGAAAGAAAAAGACAAATGGGGCAAAAAAGTTAAGGGGAGAGTTACGTAGAGAGAGAGAGAGAGAAAGTAAGAGAAGAAGAAAGAAAAAAAAAGAGCGCAACAATTTTAGTAGTTTTTTATTTTATTTTTTTTTTATTTTCGTGGCTTTGTTTTCATTTATTTTCTATTTAATTAACTTTATTTTTTATTCAATTATAACGTGTCATTAACTTTTTATACTTTATTTATTTATTTTTTTTTTTTTAGACAGCCATATTTCCACTTTAACTTAAAAAAAAAAAAAAGAAAAAAAAATAAGCGTGAAAAAAAAAATCTTTTTTTTTTTTATAAAAATGTGTTTTCTATTTAAAAAAAAAAAAAAAAAACATTTGGACACGACAGACCGGAAATAGATGCTTTAACTTTTGGGGGATAACCATATAAATTTTATTTTATTTTCATTCCCTTTCTATATTTTTTTTTTATAAGAAAGAAAAAAAGAAAAAATAAAATGTCGGAAAAATATGGGAAAATTCTTAAGAGAAATAAGATAAAAAAAAATTATTTATTTTGTTTTAAAGTTTAAAAAAAATTTATCCAGGAAACAGCTAACACGTATATACATTATATAAAAATTTAAAAATTATTATTATTATTATTATTATTATTATTATTATTATTATTATTATTATTATTATTATTATTATTATTATTATTATTATTATTATTATTATTATTATTATTATTATTATTATTATTATTATTAATTCGGAAAAAAAGAGGTTTTAATTTTTTTTTTTTTTCCTCATAAAGTTCCCTAATGGAATTATTTGATTTTCCCACTGCATACATCATCATCAATCGTATTTTTTTAACCTTTCAAAAATTTTTTTTTGTTTTTTTTAAACGATGTTAAACTTTTAATTTTTTTTGCGAGGATAAAAAAAAATTGTTTGTTACGCACACTCACGCACATTTTCGCAAGAAGAAAAAAAATATATACGGAAAATTTGTATCAGTTAAAAAAAAAACCGATTTTTCACAAAATTTCGATTAAACAAGACAAGAAAATTAATTAAAAAAATGTCTTAAAAAAGAGAGTGAGAGAGAGAGAGAGAGAGAGATGAAATATATATATAGGGATAGCGAATGAGTAAAAAAAAAAAGGACAACAACCTACACCAAAAACCAAGCTAAGCAAATAAAAAAAAAATTGAATAAAATTTTAAATGTAGAAAAAAAGAAAAATTCTACACTTTCGAAAAGAAAATTTATTTCGAAATAAAAAAAAAAAAATCTGTATTTGTAAAGATTCGAACTTGTGACTGCCACGCCTTTTCCTTCGTACGAATTTTTTTTTTTTTTTCTTTTTTCTAACCACTTATATAACCC